AATGTGTTTTGGCTTAACATTTTCTCTGCACAGCTCCAGTAGATGTTTTTGTGTATTTGTGTGCATACTTTTATTTTGTGGTACTCATAAATAATTACATGCTATACAATGGAGAGGAATTTAATTCAACCCTTGTCTCTCTAGGCTTTTGGATATATCTCTGTTAGAGTCTCTTTTGATTCTTTATCCAAATTTCAATAGGCACTTTTGAAATTAGTATTTGACTTATTTCTGGCTTCATCTAATCTGTGGGTTCATCACTTTGTATTCATGTTGAATATATTGGCACATATATACTGGCACATATTGATAAAAGGATTAAAGAAATGTGTACAGACCACAATTTGCCTAATTTTGATTCAGTTTACTTAATTTGATGCAGACAACACAGAGGAATGTGTTAAGTAGCTGCCACAGTCTGTTCGTCTGGTTTTCCTCTTCTGTGCTGTGTGCTAATGTAGATTTCACATGGTAAACAAAATGCTGTCTTAGCTTAGCAATAGAAAAATGGAACTATATACAACCAAATCACCATTACTTCATTTTCAACCACCGCGTAACGTGATGTTTCTAATAGTGATAGGGAGTGACAACAGAGAAATCCACAGAAAAAGGCAGAGTACAGTCCCAGCATGTAGACCGACATCAATGATGCAGTCATTGACAGCATTATATATAACTGTTGCCTTATAATTCTTTCATGGTTTTGGACAGTGTGTCTTAGCAGATAATAGACCTGTATCTGCAAATGAAGTTTAGGCGTTTATAGTTTTCACTCTGCGTGATTAACTAGAAAGTGTTCTCAATATCTGTCATGTTGCTCAGTGTTTGAAACGTGTGTGTCCCATGTCCATACACACTCACATTCATGGGAAGCTTATCGATTAGTGTTGGGAGCGCTGTCTTTTTTTTTCTTTTTTTTTTTATCATAGCTGCTTTTATCGCAACTGATGAAGTCACAGCAACGGCACTTTGTGAGATTTGTATTTCGCAGCCATACTGCAGCGAATGTGTGCGATCTGCCGCTGCCTTTGAAGTACTGCTACCCACTGAATGGTAAAATGCTAAACATAAATCTAAATGAGAGAGGGAGGGCAAGGTTTCACTGCCCCAACTCTCTAACTGCAGCTTTGATCGACCTCAGCAAAGTGTTCGTATACAATATTCACTGTAGCACTAAACAGTTTCAGTGATCTCTACTTGTTTTCAACGTCCAAAATATAAATATATGTAAATATCGAGGACACCATGTGAAAAAAGGACTTCATCTTTGAAGAAAGTAAATCACAAGAAAAGGGGTTTTACAGGACAAAGGGTAATTCTGTCAGTGTTAGAAGCAGGTTTTATCAGTGTAAAAACAGCCAGTCTACAGCCACACTAGTGGCTCTGTAAGGCTACGCTTAGGCACATCTGTGCTTTGAGCAAAATTCAAATACCAGTGCTAATTAGCACTAAATACAGAAGTGCAGCTGAGGCTAATGGGAATGCCATTAGTTTTGCTGGTATCAAAGGATCAAATTTAGATCAATTCATCCTCTGGGTACCATCCGTTTATGGACCGCACAACCAGAGGAGACAGAACATTGGACCTGATGTGTGCTAATGTTAAAGGTGCTTAGCAACCCTTCTGATATATGATAGACAACCCATTATACCTCCTGAGCCATAGCCACCCCAATGTGCATCCTTGTGTGTACAAACAATGCAGGAATCCATGCATCAAAATGTTTTTAGCCCTAATCACATGGGCTACTACAGCCTTGGGTCCTACTGTGATTTGTAATAATCGAGGAGGTCAGTGATGTTAATCCTTTCCTTTGTTGGCTCTTTGTCCAATGTTAAATACAAATATCAAGGGAAATGACAGGGCATTTGATAAATTGGTCCAGTGCAAATATTTAAGAGCTTCAATAGGATTTTTGGCTGAAATTTCAAGAAGCTCCTCCAGCTATTCAGCATGGAGACCCATTTGGAGAAGGACCAAGTTCCAATTAGTAAGTCAGTAAATTTCACAGAAACAGACTTAGTTTATTTCACACAAATGCAGCACATGGCACAGATTCAGGGGGTAAATCCCAAAATCAGCTCAGGAATCCAGGTAATTCTACTTCAGTGCAAATCTGTCTTTAGATAGAACCATGCAACCAATCCTGTGACTATGCCGCTATAGACACTGATGTGAATGAGAAATTATGTTTGTAGGACTGTACATGAAAGTAAAAAATGTGCTCTTCAACTGGGTCACCATTTTTTATTCAGGTTAAGAATATTAACTGTGTGCCATAGACACCAATATATAGCAACCACTGAACTATGCTGGACAGCAGAACAATGTGAAACCTAAACAACCATGTATTATTGCTAGCTGAGAATAAGTCCCATCCTAATGAACCCCACTGACTGCTGATAATAGTCATTTTTAAACAACTCACCAGTGAATATAAAGTAAGTAAATATATCATTTTTGCACGTGGCAGTTTCACAATGAAGCTGAAAGCTGTTTGTGAGCTTTTCCTCTGCATGATGTGTCCAACGTGTCAGAAGCTATGAGTGGTTATTATCTACCTTTGTTTTACTTTTGGCTTGTCTTCAGTTTTTCCTCTTTGTCTGTTGTTCTATTCACCAAGCCTCATCTCCAGTCATTTTACCTCATCTAGACTTGCATTCCTACATCTTTTTTTTTTTTATTCCTTTCATTCATGCATATTTTCAATTTCAGCTGAAATCAGCCTCAGTTTTCAAATCAATACTAAATTAAGTTAGCCTAACTAAGTGAACTTCTGTTGTGTGTGATAAAAGCTGATAGATTTCTAAACTATTAATATTATTGGTCCTTGAGAAGTTATTCATTGCCATGTCCCTTCTCTGATAATCCCAAAGCACACATTTTATTTCACAATTTTTTTCATTTTATCCTTAAAGGTATATTTAATTCATCATTCTGACCTCATTACCGTGTCCTCATAGACAGAAACAGGAGATTTCTGAACTGAGAGTTTAATTACTTCTGATTAAAGACCGATTCATTTGATTAATTTGGTTAATTTGATTAATCAATTTCCCCTAAAAGCAGGTGGTGCTTATAGCAAGGAATTTTTAATTAAAGCATGGCCTTTGTTCCTCTGAATAAAAATATTAGAAATATATCCAATATATACATCAGAACCAGCGGGGATTAGTTTATTAATCCTGCTGGCATCTCTGCTCCCCCAGCAGACGACAGCACAGTAGATGGCACTCGCTACCGCAGACTGGTAGAAGTTCTCCAAGATTTTGTTACATGCACTGAAAGATCTGAGCTTCCTCAGAAAGCAGAGACTTCTCATCTCCTTCTTGTGCACAGTGTCAGTGTCAGTCCTCCAGTCCAGTCTTTGGTTCAAGTAGACACCCAAGTACTTGAAGTGCTCCACAACTTCAACCTCCTCATCCATCATGATAATGGGCTTGGTCGCAGTTCTCTCTCTCCTAAGGTCTACTAGCATCTCCTTGGTTTTGTCCACATTTAGGAGAAGATGAATCCTACTGCTCCAGTCCACAAAGTTAGGTACCAGTTCCCTGTACTCTGACTCCTGCCCCTCTCTAATACATCCCACCACTGCAGAGTCAGAGAAGATATTTTTTAAACGTGTTTGATATTTGGCGACTGATGACGTCACTTGTGTGTTAACCAATGGAGACTTAAAGAAATATAAACTGCTTTACCTGCAGTTAGCTTTGTGTCACAAAGTTCACTCACTTCCAATTCCCCAGCTAGGCTATACAGTTTCCATCCAGGATCTCACCCAATGTCTTCCCTTTTCTCCTCCTATTCTGGCCCTTTAAACTCAAAAGTCACTGTATATAAACAGTGCAGGCTTGGTCGTCTGCCTCCAGAACTCCTCAATTTTTATCCATTTTCTGACATTTTATAAAGCAAATTATTAATAGATTAATTGAGAAAATAACTAGCAGATTAATAATGAGTTTACGTATTAGATGCAGCTCTTAACACGATGTTAATTGTAGCAAACTAACTCTTTCTGGTAGTGGTTCTATCAGTGCAGTCCTCTGTTTTCCAGAAAGTCTTCTTGTTATTTGTCCTTGTTGGAAAATTAAGGTCATTTTGCTCCATTTTCTAACAATGACTTGGCAGCTGTGTACATCACTTAAGCTTGTGAGCAACAATGTTATTATTTTCCATTTGTGTTTGTTCCAGTTGACCTGGCACTTACTTTTGCACAAGGGGGTGTCACAGCAAATGATGAGTTAATGTTTCCAGAGTCACAGCGGGCAGGCAAGCAATTAACTGAGATGTTCTAGGTTACACATTAAATGATACACCAACAGTTATTGTAATGACAGCACAAACATTTTTCGCTATGATGTGACCTTGTCCATGGTTAACTTGTAAAGTGGAGAGGGAGAGCGGTGAGCAAGTAATTGAAGATGGATATTGTCAGCCGCTGATTTCATACCTCTGCAAAGCTGCTGGTAGAGCAAACACAGCGGCCACTTTCTCTTGCAATTTTTTTCCTCTCCTTTTTTTTTTTTTTTTTTTTTCGCTCTTTTATTGCAGATACAAGTGCAAAGATGAACTTATTGTATTTGGTTGCTATTTCACATTGATACAGTTTTGATCCCGTACATATTTACATGGACATTAGATACAGATTTCAAAGCAAAGCAAATTCTGTGCCTTGTAAGATTAATGTGTGATTCAAAACAATAAAGCCATTCACAACTGCTTATATTATCTACCAGGCCAATGCCTGGCATTTTTAATTAAATAATTGTAGTCATCAGAAATCAACAGGAATGACCTTGATCTCGCCTACAACAACATGTCGATGAGATCTGTGTATGCTGAAATAGCATGGAGCATGAGGAAATGTGTCCTGCACCGTTGTCTGACAGAAAGGAACATTTGAGCTACCTCAAATTATACCTAATAAGAGATGTCTGGTTGTCAAGTACAAATCTTGTGTAATCTCTGTCTTTCTCCGTCTTATTTTCTTCTCCAGGAGACAATAATGGATGGCCCCATCTTTTTGACAAATATTTTGGCATGCCAAGCCATAACACCAGGACCAAGTCCAATGTGTGCTGTAAGTACTGTTATTTTGTTTCTAAACTGTACTTTTAAAGATGTTCTTTGGTCTGGTTGTTGCTCTTACGTGTGAGCTGAAGGAAATGGTTCTCAAGAGACTTCAGATGTCTGAAGCCTTGATGCATCAAGGAGAATGGTGATGGGCCACTGCAGACCTTAACAGGTTTACCAGTGTGATACCAACCCAAATCTGAAGCTGTCCTTTGCCAGGATGTATTTAAGCCCGAATATCCTCACACAGCACAGACTCACATGTCGCAGGTGCTGTCAGCTATGCTAGAAATAAACAATGAACCACTGTTTACAGTAATGGCTTGTATGTAACCTGTGGAGAATCATATCCTAACCTAAAGACCTTGAAATAATAAAAACAATGTCTAAATCTTTACTACTTCCTACTGAAAATAACTTATCAAGTCAAGTCAAGTCCATTTTTATTCATATAGCACCAAATCACAACAGAAGTTATCTTAAGGCCATTTCAAACAGAGCAGGCTGTTATTGCATCGGCAGTGACATAATTTTCCAGGATTTTCTCCTTTTTTTTCTGTTGTCCTGTAGGCCGGCAAATAGACAGCTCTTCATGAATAAGGCTAAGGTTGAATCACTGCTGCGTTTCCGAATGTCTCTATTAAAAGAAACTAGGGTGCAGAACTGTGTAAAATGTGTGAAAACACTCCACACACCAACCTAGTTTTAATCACAATCTGGAGCTGTAGTTCAGCCGTCTGCATAATGAGTTGCGGATGGGAAGCCAGTGAGGGATCCTGTACAAGTGGCTATGACTGGTTGGTTGGGATGCCCTTTGTGGAGGTGGGGTGAGGTCTTGATTTTCTAGCATGTGTTCTAGGGCCTCCTAGTGAAATATGAAAAAGCTACAAAAAAGTAATAAAACCAACTATATTTTTAGTTTCTTGAATACTAATCATTCAATGTGGGTATTCACAATATTTTCTTGCTATCGAAATGAATGTAGATCAAGACTGGCAGCCAGCAGAGTATGCATTCGATTGTGGAATCCCAGAAGCTACAGTCGTGCAGCGTAAAGATTATTCATCACTGACTGAGGAGCCAAGAATCACTTTTTCTTTTTCAAAGATACCTCACAATGAGATCAAGTCATAAACTTTTGACAAGACACGAGGGGGCTCTGTACTTATAGATACCAAAGCTAAAATTCTCTTCACTTCCTGTTCTATGCAAGTTACTTCCCTCTGCAAATAAAAACTCAAAAGTCATAGGAAGTGTTATCCATTAGGACCCACTCTTTAGAAATTACAGCCCAGTCAATCATCATATAAACCAACAGGCACTAACAGCAGCAACTGTATAACCAAGACAGAGGAGAAATAGCGTGTGCCTTGCAAAGAAAACAGTGATATTACAGAGAGAGAGAAAATAATAAAACCTTCCATCATGATGTCATGCTGATGTTTACGTGCTGTGCAACCATAGTCCTTTGCACAACAGAGCACAAAAGAGGCAGAAACAAGCTCAATTCTGCAGCTTTAAAAGCACAGAAATACTTAAGTATAATAAATAGTGCATTCATGAATAACAAGCCCATTATTGTTTCCAAAAAAGAAAAGACTGAGACAGTTTGTACTAAGTAAACTGAAGAAATCAATTTTAACAGTAGTATTGCCAAATGTATATGTCATAACCATCCCAACATGTATCTACACTACAAATTAAGAGTGAGTTTACTTTCTTTACCTTTCTTACTACTGCATGTAAACAAATCAATTTAATTTCTCATTAACTTGACCAGGTCTCTTCTCATTAAATGTATCCCGCAAATTAAATAAAATATTAGTACTACCATTATGATCAATTTACTTTCACTCAGTAGTTTGTCAGCTACTCTTAATTAATCGAAGGCATTTTATTTGGACAGCTGTAAATTCATCTGGCTATTGGTTTGTCAGACTTGATCTTTGTATAAATGACTGTTGCACAGCCTGATTGGTGACATAATTATACTTTTGATTTGCCATCTGTACTAAATTAGAAAATCACAGACATGAAAGTCAAAACAAGTCAGAGGAAATCAAATGTGTCAGGTTTTGTTTTTAGTTATTCCATCAACTTTTGCTAATTTATCTCCTCACAGTAAAGTTTAAAATGTTCCGCTCTTGACTCTTCCACTCATGTGGAAGTAGATTTGACCGCTGACATCCAAGCTCTGTTCATTGAGAATCCATGCAATCTTCCTAATGTGAACAATAACAAAAAAAAAAATACATTTTAAGTTTTGTATTTCCAAAAATAATTACAGCAGGTTTTTCCTGGTGTGCTAGTCTAAAAAGAAGGATCAGAGGATTGCATTCATCTGGAGGAGGGTAACATGACAGCTAAAGACACTTTGGCTTGGGAAACAATATTTTCTCCTTTTGATATTGCGTTCTCTTTACGTTTTCATGAAGCCTCTACAAGCTTTTCAAGAATCCTGTGTCATCAGAAAGTCCTACATTATTCAAAGCAAAGTATAATTGCCTATACTCCATGAAAGCAGTTGTAGAATACTAAGGAGCAGTGGGATAGAAATTATGTTTGATGTGGACTTTGAATTGTCCATATTATATTATAGTAATGCTGTAGGAATGATTTCTAGGTACATTCAATACATTTACTTATTTCTATCAATCTCATTTCTTATATTTGCATTGTGTAAAGCGTTACTATTATACCTTATGCTGCTTGCTTATTTCTTCTTCTGTTCCACCTCCGCTTTTGTCTCTTAATCCCTTTCTTGCCATAGTACAAATCAGGGTGCAATAATAACCTGATGTTTCTATGGTGAAAAAATGTCTATAACTCTATCTGTTAACACTGTCTTATCAATACAACGATGCAGGTTATTAAAGTTATTAACATTATTTGCAGTCATCGCAAATGATCACTAAAACAAATGGAAAACTGGACTGTGTAAAAGTGTAAGTGACCAAGTCCCTTGACTAGACCTTTAAAGATGGAGGTTCACCCTAAACAGAAAGTGAACTCAGTTTCAAGTGGTCTTTTTTATGGTAACAAACTGAAAAGTGCAGATAAATCACTTTGTCATTACGAAGAGCTTTGTCGTCATTGTTAGCTCCCTCTTCACTGTGACAGTCCAGTACAACACCCACATCACTGCAGATGCTAAAGCAGTTTCAAACCCACTATGCCTTCGACCCCTTGCTAATGAACAAAACCAAATATAATGTATGTCCTCCGCTTCCCTTGCCATCTGATCCGACTTAGTACTGTTCCAGGACCATGAGCAGTGTCAAATAAGGATTTGTGAATATCCTCACAAGTCCCTGGAAATACCTCCCACTAGCCAGGAACAAAGCCAGGGATCAGTCCATCAAGGCATTTCTCTGCCTTGCTGCCCCTACTTGTAACGCATCATACATCTACATTGATCCTTGCAGTTCGTGACTTCACATAGCAGCAGCCCCATGTCGTTTCTTCTAACCTTCTGACAGATGAAGGTAGTGTGTGAATATGGAAGTTGTTCAGTTTCAAAGTGCCAGTATGAAATTGATTATGACACAGGCTTGGGAAAAAGTACCTACCATGTGAGCTCATCACCTGTAAGTATATTGCTTTGCAAGTAGTCTGACTGTCAAAGTGCTGTGTGGTGCAACTAATTAAACCTAGCAGGAATTAGCTGCTTGGGTCACATCCATAGGTTAGATCTAAATCATAAAACCCAATTATTTCTTGCATTGTAAGCAGAGGAGATGCATCCTAATTCAGTTAGGAAACGTAAGAGAGTAGCAAGTGTGTTCAGATTTTTTATGATTTCTGGTTGGTACTTTGGCAGCACGCTGCTCAGACCCATTTTAATGATATTTGACCACCATATTTTCAGCAATTAACAACACTTAGCATAGATCCTGGACAACTGTCTAGGTCTTTCTTGATAAAAGCACTTAAAACGTGAAATACTCTACATACACGGATCAGCAATAACATTATGACCGCCTGCCTAACATTGTGTAGGTCACCGTTTTGCCACCAAAACAGCTCTGACCTGTCGAGGAATCCACAAGACCTCTGAAGGTGTGCTGTGGTATCCTGCGCCAAGACGTCAGCAGCAGATCCTTTAGGTCCTGTAAGTTGCGAGGTGGGGCCTCCATGGATCGGACTTGTTTGTACAGCCAACTCAACACCTTGAATTCGTTGTTGTGTTCCTCAAACCATTCCTGAACCATTTGTGGCAGGACGCATTATCCTCCTGAAAGAGGCCACTGCCATCAGGGAATACCGTTTCGATTAGGGAGTGTACCTGGTCTGCAACAGTGTTCAGGTAGGTGGTACATGTCAGAGTAACATCCACAGAAATGGCAGGACGGGCTCGTCTGTAGTTCCAGTTTCAAGAAAAGGGTCTTCTCCTGCCTTCTCCAAGGAAACCAGTATCAAAGCTTGATGGTGGTCTTTCAGTTGCACTTAGTCCATGTGTCATTCTGGGAGAAGAGTTTTTCCCACGCAGCTCCCAGGGTCACAGAGGCATGCAAATCCCTCCACAACAATAATTTATCTATTCATGGAGGGTTTCTAAATAATGATTTCCTCCATTTCCTGTCTCTTTACACTGAAAATGGCAATAGCTTAAACTGCAGTTGTGGACCTCAGCATAGACCTCTGCACTCTATTTAATATCAACCTTGAGTTCTTTTGTTTGAATTTAAAGCCAAATATCCTCTATCCTCATCTTGAGAAAATCTTTTCTTCAGCGGTCGCTTTTCTGTATTCAATAACTTACAGATTGAAAATAAAGAAATATCCTCAGGTGTCTATTTTTGGGGCTATCATTTTCCTCTTCTCTGATGCTCACTTTCCAAACAGACCAGTATTTTTTAAGAAGTCTTTTCCGTTGTGTGAGATTTGATGTGGCAACCAGTCTCATTCTGGGCTGTAAACAGAAGGTGATTTGTTGTTTTTTAACAACAGGCATGGCCCAGTGGGAACACCCCCTACCAACAATCAACACAAACACCTATGTACACCTCCCAACGGCCATTGTTACAGGGCACCATAACCATAACTGTGACATTTCTAGTTCTACAATTCCATTTTGTCCAGTCATCTTCCTTCTCGCCCTACTACACTCATCTTTTTACAACTGTGTATTAAAGCCCTCTGGAGTCAGGGTTGATGTTTTCTACTGTTCGTACTGCACATGCATGGTCTCAAACTCTGGATCCTTTTGTGTAGTGCATAAAGCTGTCAGAAAGATAACACAGGAGGCCATAAAACCTTACAAACCTTACAAATCTTTAGCTCTTAGTAGTCTAGGTGCTATTTTGACCATTGGTTTGATCATGCTGGCGTGAGCAGGGACTGCTGAATAAATAAATACACCTTCAGGTTTTATGCAGGGCTTTATTCTCTCTCTTACAGTACACTAAAAGCAGGGCTTTTTTTTTTAATTACATGACCCACATGACCTCTTGGGATTTTTTACCATCTAAATTCCTTTATGCTCTCAGCTCTACGCAGTGGTTCATACAGTGTCAAATGAAAATGTCAGGAAACTAGTTGACTCGCCTGACCTGCTTCCAAGCATGACTGAGACACCATCACATTCAGAACAAACAAGCTGCTCCTTTGTCTTCAGTAAAGTCATGGTGAGATATGTTATTGAGCAACACTGTATGAATTTTCTCTGCAATGGTGGCAGGGAGCTCTACTATATCCAAAAATAATGTCAGTGGCTGTTCACTGTTGCCTCTACATGCTCTTCATAGATAATTTGTACTGATTATTTGCTGACGGTGGATGACTCATCAACCAGAATGAACGTCTTTTAATTTTAGAACCCTTGCAATTACTTGCTTTCTCATTTCTGTTGCTATGTGCTGGCCAATATTTGCAGAATATTTTTTCTGAATGGAAAGTCCTTCCCATGTCCAGTCCGTTCAGGACTTGGACTGTCTGTTTCTAAGTCAGTGTATTCCCTCCAGATTTTGCAGTTTTATAAACAGTCCTAAACATCCTGTCAGTGGTCAGAAACTGATCCCTCATCATCTCAGCAGTCACGGTTTCTACTGTTTTCTCAGCTGTGTTGTGAAAGTCTGAGGTTCTGAAGCGATGTACTTTCTTATGGAGCGACTGTTGCTGTGCACATTTTGTTATCAATGATGCAACCACCTCAGCCTTCATCAACTCCTCTGCAACGTGCTTGTTTTTTCCTCCCGTCTCTGGTCCTGCAGCATTCACCTTGTCACAGGTTGAACAACCAAGTGCTTTAGCTTGATATACCAGCCATGGATGTGGCTCCTTTTCACCTTAAGTTGCTTTTCTTTTTTTTTTATTGAACTCTGGGATATCATCATGCTCTCTGCTCCAGCACCCTCTCTGCTACTAGGGGATGGAGAAGGGGGGGTGGTAGGTTAACAAGGGGGATGGCTTCCCACCTGATATCCTCTCAAATCGCCTACTGGCTGTCAATTCCCCTGCCTTTTTCAATCAGTCATATTGATGTGACTGCAGCCTGTTGTTGAGCATACAGGATTCCACCGCCATAGCCAGTGTTTACTTCATTTAAAATCAAAAGAAGGCCCGGTCGGTCACTTAATAGAAATAAACCTTATGTGTTCAGAGCGCAGTCACAATGATCACCATTTACAACAAAGCAATCTTTTAAAACACCATTGTTACAGTCACTCTTTAGGATTGTCTATAATTAAACTGGTCGATGTGGGAATCATAGCAACAGTTCTCCATGTTTATCAGCCTCAAAGCCTTAGGCTCCATAAGTATGTCACATACATACCACACAGCTATATTTTCATGGTAATATAGAGTTGTACAAAAGGCATGTTGCTATTTTCTAGACCATGAAATACTTTCCCCATGTTTTTGGTATTTTTGTGCAATGAGATGTCAGTGCAACGCTTGATAATTGCATGAAAGCCAACACATAAGCCTGAAAGTAATGATTATAAAATGCAAAAATTTCCTTCTGGCAATTAAATGTATTGCTGTGATTTAGTTTAATTGGGAGTTATTTGCTGCATTTCAAATGGCATCAAACTGACAACCGCAACATTATTTATTTACAGGGACATCCACCTTTTCATTACTATTTCCAGGGACTCATATATTATGGTTATCTGAATGTTGATGTTGGAGCTTTTGTGTTGCTCTGCATTACTGCATCACTGCCAGTGAGATTTATTTCTTCAGGGTTTTCCCATAAAATAAAAGTAAAGTCGACTAAATGTCATATTTTATCTTCATACACTCATTCAGATTTACTGTAGCAGGGCAGTATTCAGACCAGCAGCATAGACACACAGATGTTGTTTGACTTTGTGTCTAATTCTTGTTGAGCTCGAACCCCCCCAAAATTAAAAGACTTTTCAGTTAGTTCAAAGGATCCTGTCCTTGAATCATAACAATGGAGCTATTTAATGGGAAGTGTCATGATGGTAAGCTACACAGAGATGTGATTAGGGAAGTTGTTTTTGTTTTTTGACCTGTTCTCTTCTCCTCTCTTCAGCTACAATGTGAACAAAACATAATACTGAAGTTCAAATCGATTTTTTTGTGCATCATCAGCATCAGCTTTAGAGGTGTGGTGCACCTGCAAATCACAACAGAAGTAAAAGTAGTCTGCTTTTTTTTACTGCCTTTTTTATTTATCTAAAACGTTTATCTGCTATTGTCACTGCCACACGATGAAATACTTTATGACTGCCAACAACTCTGCAGTTCACTTTCTGATCATCCTCTTACAGGTCAGGAGGTGGTTTCAGTAATTCCATTGTAGGAATGAAAAAATGTGTAGTATTTGACAGCGGGCAAATAAACAGGGTTAGTAATGAATTGTGCTTTATATGGCCACTACCTTTATAAATACTGAAGGATACTTGAATCAATCCTGCTGAAAAATGGTGGACCTGTGGAGAGTATTCAGTCTAATCATATGTATATTTTTTCCTTACTTGCTTCAATCAATAATGACTGTGAAAGCATTCAGTCGGTTGAAATGGGAGTTAAATATGACTTGTCACAAATGTGCAATTATCTCCGTAAATTAAAATGTGTTAGTCTGACGGGGGGGAGGCCTTTCATTAACTTCCCCTTGTGGCTAAGTCTGATGTGTCCTCAACTATAATTTGCTTTTATTGGAGCCAGGAAAGCCCAATTAAACAATCTTATGTGCACCTTTTCATCATAGCTCGCATACCAATCTAGGATTTAATCAAAGGTAATCAAAGGTAGATTAACCCAGGAATGTTCAATAAGCAATCTTGAAAAGCCACGGCCTGTTTTTAACTATTGCCAATCTGTGTTTGCTCTCCAAATCAATTCTGCTTTTATTTTCATCTCTGCTTATATTCCCCGCCAACAGGACAAGGTTTCCATTCGTACAAACAGCTCCAGTCTTGTCACTTTGGCACTTGGTAGGATGACCAGTTGATTGATGTATCCTCTGATGTCTACTCCCTCTCCCCTCCATCTCTCCAGTGCTGGGTGTCGTTCCTGAGCTCTGCCAGTGCCGAGACCTGGAGCTGGACTGTGACAGCACACAGCTTCAAGATATCCCAGTGGTGGCGATGAATGTCACCATGATGTGAGTAGAAAATAACCGTTTATTTTTTCAATAATTTAAAGCCCCAGGAGCCCTCCATACCTGGCTGCGACTGTCACAGCATGCAATAAGTGTTGTAGCAAACACCCCCCCCCCTCTCCAAAACCCCACCCTACCACTGTGAGTAACTGTCATTACATGCAGCCAGAACTAAAGATGACTCTTTGGTGATGATGATGCAACCCCTTCACACTGAGCTGATGAGCAGCATATGTCGTTGAACGTCTTGTAGGAGCCAGCATCACACATTTTGTTATATGTATTTATATATATATTTTCTTATTAGTCATTTTTATTTTTTCAGAACACAAAACATATTATTACAGGACTGGTCTGTAGATGAAGGAAGGAAGCAGTCATGTGATCAGACACATTGTCCACCCAAAACCAGCAAGTTACATTACATATACATATTTTTTTTGTTTTTTTCAGTTTGGGGTCAGGAGAAATATTGTTTCTGCTACAAACACTTAGTGCTGTGGGGTTTTTTTGTTTTGTTTTGATATTTTTTTCAATTTGTTGTTAGTGAAGCATGGCCAGTTCAGCCATAGTAGCTATTACTGTTCATGGTACTGTAACCATTGTGCTTTTCTCCTGTTTGTGGTGGGGCTGAAATGGTATAAACACATAACTTTATTTTTCCATTAGAGGATTTTCTTGAGGAAAGGTTTAGAACAAATGGGTGTTTAGAACAACCAAAGTGAAATTAATGAGTTGGTTCACTGTATTACATCAATTTAAAAATACCACTAAAAATAATAACAAACATTTAGTGGGTGTTTAGTTATGACTACCTGTTCCCAGACATCTCTTAATCTGCTCTACAACTGGCCCGCTGTCCTCCGACTCCAGGCAGGTAAATAAAGCAGACACTGCAAACTGTTTTTGTCTGCTGATTTCCAAAAGCAGGATTTTCACGCTCGTAGAGTGAAAATCTTTTTACACTTGAATAACATTTTTGAGAATGAAACCATGCGGCCACTCCACATGGTTTTATTCACAAAAATGTGAATGGCAACAGGTAGCCTTATATGGCAGGGCCAGGGTTAGGTGAGTCAATGATGCTTATTAGGGCTGCAACTGTTATTTTCATTGTTTATTAATCTGCCAATTACTTTTCTTGATCAATCAATTAATTGTTTTGTGTCTAACATGTCAGAAAATAGTGAAAATGTCTGTTTAAATTTCTGACAGATCTCAAATAGTTTGTTTTGTCCAGCCAATTGTCCAAAAGCTGAAGATATTCAGTTTTTCAATCATGTAAGACGACGAGGAGGAGCATCGCATCTTCACATATTTGGCTTTTTGCTTTGAAGATATGACTAAAAGCATAATCTAACTATCAAAATAGCTGCCGATAGTCTATCAATCGACTAATCATTGCATCTCCCATGTAATGATCAAATCTCTCAACATGCAGCTCCTCATGAACAGGCAGGTTGGTGCAGTTATGACTCCAGCGTGGATAGTACTACAAGCATACCACAAATAAAAAGTAAGAAAGACTTAGGATCAGAAAAGGAAAATGTTCATGAGCTCCAGTGGGTTTTAGTAAGAAAGCTTGTTTGTTTGCAGGAATGCTCCAGAGTGTGTCTTCAGTGTTAGTGGGCCGAGAAATACAGTGTCATAGAGTGTTTGTGTTTGAGAACAGCGAGCCCAAAGAGACAGTGTCAACAGTAAGATAATCTTGCGTAGTCCCAAAACTGACCACTTCCAACAGCTTGACATGACAGTGTGAGAGTGAGTGGATGAGCTTTTAATCACCTGTTAATCCATTAAAAGCTTTGGAGTCAACATCTGAATCGAGATGATAACAGAATTTACAGGCCACAGTTTATGTTTATGGATTTAATGTCCTGGTAATAGACTCGGTCATTTTATTTTAGTTCATTGCCGTGTTTTTATTAAGATGTGATCATTTTATTTAAGTGTTTTTACCTTTTACGCCTTTACATAAAAACTGAAATAAGACCTAAAGGAGCCCGTCTTGTGCCACTATGGTCTATTGAAATGTAATCACAGATGAAAAAGTATAGATTGTTGGGGGTGCCCTGGTGGGTCATCTGGTAGAGTGCATGCCATGTAGGCTCAGTCCAACTTTCCTGTCCATCTCTCTGTCCTTCTCCCATTAAAGGCATTAATGCCCAAGAATAACCTTAAAAAAAAAAAAAAGTATGGGTTGTTGGTATTTTAAACATTTGAACCGACAGAAAACGAGAGCCCCAGTGAAAAATACAATGTGATCTGAAAATAGAATATAATTCATTGTCTGTTATTTGTCTTTTTTAAAGTTTATTTATAGTTTATAAATAATATTCACTACTGGAAGAGTGGCAGAGTATATGGCTGTATTGGTGTTATTTTTTATCATTTGAATGTTTGTAATGTTCAGTAGGTCTTGTAATCCCCAGGCCTGAACACCCCTCTTAAACCCACATGTTAAAATTATAACCTTGACCGTCAGATGAACGGGTCAGATGTTTAAATACTGAATATACTGAATCATGATCAGCGTTGTTCTTGGTGCACGCTTGATTATATATTCTGAGCTTCTTTCTATCCCTCAGGTCTCTACAAAGGAATCGGCTTCAGAAACTGAGAGCAAACACGTTCTTTAAGTACCAGAGCCTACAGAAACTGTGAGTTTCCCATAAATTATGGATTGCATGTTATTCAAATATATAGCCCACTATTTTATTTTATTTTATTTTACATTATGATATTAAGACATTTTTATTATTGTATTTCCTGGTTGTTCTGTTTCAGTGATTTGCCCTTTATTCTGTTATGATTCAAGGCTGTAAAACTGGAATTGAATTGAATTGAATTGAATTGAATTGAATTGAATTGATTTCAGTCTAAGCAACACATACAATAATGCGTGATGCATATGTATTAGGGTCTAAGCTATTCATTCAATAAAGCATAATTCCTTCCTGATACCAAAGAGCAGAGAAAAACAGCAGCCTCTTAGTGACAAGTACAACAAATGACTTTCACGACTACAAAGCTAATATGTATAAGCTAAGAGGACATCTGGGAACGCTGACAGAAGTGATTGATTTGTTCTGCATACAGATCCTTTCATTCCCGACTTACATTGTTTATCAGTCTCACACAGTGCCACTGACTGTGTCGGCAGGGCAGTAGGTCTGATCCTCTGCCAGGAACCATTTGGCTGCGTCATAGTGTCAGCCTTCAGTCGCTGCTCTGACAGTTCAATTGGATTGAAAACCTCCCTGAAATATGCATAAACAAACATCCAAATGAATTACCAGGTGTGTAAAATACACAAAGAGACAAAACACAGCTTTCAGCCGAGGTCTGTCGAGCACACAGTGTGTGATACCAAAGTTGATGCCTGGCATTAAACAGATATCAGAACCTAATTTCTCTCAGCTGGAATAATATCTTCTGTTTTCATGAAAACAGCCAAGTTTTTTTTGTGTTTGTGTGTGTGTGTGTGTGTGTGTGTGTGTGTGTGTGTGTGTGTGTGTGTGTGTGTGTGTGTGTGTGTGTGTGTGTGTGTGTGTGTGTGTGTGTGTGTTTTGTTTTGTTTTTTCATTAAATCAACAGGATAAGGGGTTATAGAATTTTTCTCTCCTTGCTCTTTGGTAATTCAAAAGATTCACAAACTGTGAAACTGCAAACTGTTTTGTGCTTCTTTTTTTTACGTAGATACCTTCAGCACAACAGAATTCGAGATGTGAGTCCTGACGCATTCAGAGGACTGTATAACCTAACAAGACTGTGAGTTTGTTCATTTTTGTAACACATACCTTTCAGTAATAAAGCAAACAGTTGTGTAGGCTGTAGCTCTTTGTACATAATTATGCAAATGAATCAGCTGCTTCATTCATGCTTCAAAATCACAGGCTCATTCACAACTCAGTGATCGGCTCAGTTGTCCAAACACATTCATGTACCGCGGCCATGATAAGCTAACACTTTAACAATTAGTCTGCTGATACGCCAAACGTAACCTCCACCTTGACTACTATAATATTTGATATTGTTGATTTGATTCCAATTTAATGTGATTATTAAAGAGCATTAGCTCTCTCTGCAGAATCCTCAGCCTCTCTGAGAGTCTTTTATTTATATCTAACTGTGTAACTATTTGCTATAAATAGTCAATTTGTGTCTCTAACTAAAATGTTGTGTATAGTGCATTAAAATGAAAAGAAAGTAAAGAGAGAGGCCAGAGTGCTAAGGCTGTTGAACAACTCAAGTATTTACCAAAAAAAAAAAACTGACCTTCTCTCTGTACTACTCCAATAGGTCTTGTCTTCAAATTATTTTTGAGATTGTACCGATTGCTGAAGGATTTATACACTCAGTTGACTAAAAAAGTCTAATACAACAGTCCTGCAATAAACCATGAAGGTTATAATGCTCAGTTTGTGCTGAAATTGTTTTAGAGTTTGTGGTGCTGTCGAGCTGTTGAGCTGTGTTGTGTTATACAGAGAGGTGTTTCTGTTATTTTACCTATGCCCATTGTATAAAAAGAATGGACAAAATAATAGACACCCCTGTCAGTATTAGTATATTATTAGACTGTATTAGCTTTAGCCAAGTGTACCTATGAACTGGCAGCTGTGTGTAGATACAGCTATATTGTAAATACGTCTCCCTGTTACTGTAGCTCTGACTAAATTTCAACTAAAGCAACAACGTAGCAGATGAAGAACTCAGAGATAGACAGTTACATTACAACATCTCATCAAAAGTATGTGAACATACTTTGAAACTGTCTCTCTTAAGACACTGTTGATTTTTAATTTGTGATTAAAAGTTGCACTCTTTCAAATCTCTATTGAGATATGAAAACCATTAATCATTTAGTGCTACCTCTGACCCATTCAGCACCTTTGAGATAACTTGAAATGCAGACTGTGAGCCAGGCTTTATCTCCCAGCATCAGTGCCATCATTAATGCTCTTGTGGCCGAATACAATCAAATCCCTGCAGCCAGGCAGAAATATTTAATTGAACGTGCGCCCAAAGGAATGAAGGCTGTGGTTTAGGAGTTAAAAGTTAAGCAATCACAAACAGATGTAATTTTTCAGTGTCGTCATACTTCTGGCAAACCTTGTTAGTGACATAATGATAGCTTGATTAGACGTACATACATTATTATAAGAGGGTGAACTTTATATAGTAATCAGTAAAGATCACAGAGATAAGTAGGAATTACAAAATGCTCCGTTAAAACTGCAGTCATTAGCTACCGTACGTGTTAAATTCAACAGGAAGTTTTCAGAGAGCATCATCTTCAGGTGATCTTCCAAACTTGTCTTTCCTTTCTTAGATACCTGAGCTACAACAAGATATCTGTCCTGATGCCGGGGGTGTTCCAGGACTTACACAAGCTGGAGTGGCTGTATGTTTATTTTCTACTGAAGGAAAGTTCTGCAGCAAAAGAATATAAAATATTTCATGCATAGTTTTTGTTTTGCCATAGGCAGAGAGGTCCAGTTTGGTGAGAAATGATGAGAAATAATTCCAACTGATAAATTGTTTTTTATCGTTCTTATTATTATTCAATACAGGTAATACATCACCTATTGATGCTGTTTCCTCTGAATCAATGCTAATGAGGCTGAAACTGTATGTTTTTTTGTTGTTGTCGTTGTTGTTGTTGTTGTAGGATCCTAGAAAATAACAATATCCATCAAATATCCTCCATGACCTTTTCAGGACTGAACTCCCTTGTTTTACTGTAAGTTTTTATTTCCTACATCTATTTTGCTTTGCTGTGATCTCCTCTCAAATCATCAAAAACCCTGCAATTAAAAGCCTTTGTTGATCTGTTTAAACTGAATGAATGTTGCTCCCTTGAACACTGAATGAAAACGCACTCCACCTTCCTACATCACAGTTGTGTCTCTCTCTTGTCTCTCCCTGCGGTTGACAGAGTTTTGCTGAACAACTCTTTGACAAAGCTGGATGACATCTGTCAGGAAATGCCAAGATTGAACTGGCTGTAAGTAGGATGTGAAGCTGTCATAAAATTGACATGTTTTTTGATGAATTTATTCTTTATTATTTTATCCTGTCCGTCTCTCTGTGTGTGGGTGTGTGACTGTAAATTTGGTCTGTGTGCTTACATTTTATAACATGTTCTTGCAGGGATTTAGAGGGAAATCACATAGAAGCGATTGGAAATGTCTCATTCTGCTCATGCAGTATGCTGACAGTTCTGTAAGTATAAATTAACATAATCTGTGTAAAGGCAAACTTTCTGCTTTTTAAAATGTTCTTCAGTTTCTCAAAATCTGATTTGCTGCTACAAGTCTGTGCGTGGAATCAGTACCGGCAGTTTGTTAAATAGGATAAAGAAGGTCGAAAAGTATCAAAAAGTAGTAATATGATTTTTTTTTTTGTATTTCTCCAGGGTTTTACAGCGAAACAGGATCAGCCATATACATGAACAGTCTTTCTCAGTCCTCCAGAAACTTGGAGAATTGTAAGTCCATTTTGTTTGATTGAGCAAATAAACTGTAGGCAAAAATGTCTAAATATATATACAGTATATATAAAAGAAGCTGATGTGATGCAACAAACACCATAGAAAAATACATTAAATGCACTGTTGTGAGAAAGTTTGCACATCCTGATTTCGGCTTTAATTGTAACATTCACAGTCTTTGCTTGAAAAAGTATGTGAACCTTAAAATGGAGTTACTTCCTGTTAAAGAAGTTAAAAACTTCTACTGTAGCTGCAAGCAACAACTGACAGGATATTTAAGGACACGTGTGTAATGATCCACATTTAGGAGGAAAGCTTCATTGAACAAATGCATGTAATTTTGTAAATGGAGAGCATTCGTTGTTCTTTTGAGCCTGGGGATGGTCATTTGGGTCTGTTGGTTTGTTGATGTGTGAGCTAGTTGTTCTGTTCTTCCAACACTTTTTTACTGAGCAACCTTTTTTACAGAACTCATGTCCATATTTCAAAGAGAGAGTGATTGATATTTTGGTGACCTCCTTACCTTTTGTTTACAGTCAGGTCAAAATGTTACTCGTGGCATCATCATCACTAAAAATTTCCAGTTGAACACGAGCACAACATAAAAAATAATTGACAGGTCCAAAACTTTTTCCTGTGTTAATTTTCAAGATTTTAATCACAGTCTGCACATTTGAGGTACAATAGCACAATGAGTTCATGAACTGTGGCAGTTTTTTTATTAATGCTGATTGATATTGAGTACTTCTCTTATGAATTCTGTCAGGATGAGGAAGAAGATGACGAAAAGCCTGAATTATTGATAGCTCCCAACTAGACCTGTACAATATTAATCACTATTCCCAAACCATTGTTTGAAATGCTAAAAGAAAAATTTCCATCATTGTTATTTTGTGCTTTTTGTTTTTATCTTTATCGTATAATGTCATAATATTGTTAGCGTAGCAGTGTGGATCAGTATTTTTCATATTACTGACACCTAAGGAACTGCAGGAGATACCTACAGATCTTTACTTTTTACCTTTGATGTCTTTCTCATACTCTTGAGTATTGCACACTCTTGCTGTGGTCTTAATAACCAGTCTGTACTTCTTTTAGTTTCATGTCCTTTACTGTTGGCTGAAAAACCTCCTCGAAGTCTTACCAAACACTAGTGTAGCTGTTAAGTGCCTTGTGTTTCCCTTCTGTTCAGGCCTCCGGAATCTATATATATTTAACCTCTTTGGCTCAGTGGATTTTTATTTTAAGATCCTTTTTTAGCACCAGTTAGTATCTTAATGGTTCACATATTTCACCTAGACTGTGAATGCTTCAGTTCTCAAGAAGCTCATCATGTTTTGTAATTTACAAACTTTTTTCCTACAAATAATTGTAGGAAAAAATATTGCAGCTTTGTTAAAGGACAAGGCTGCAATATTCTGTAATTTCTTATTGAGTATTGAGAAATGGACTAAGACATTGAGGATAAAAAAACACGAAATAACACTTTGTACAAACACATGTAACACTAAGACCATATGTTTGTATTTCCTACTCATTTTCTCTTCTGTTTAGGGCTGGGAAATATGGTTGAATTCAATATATCAATTATTAAGAACATTTTTTTGATATATATCATGAAATATGACAAATATATTATTATGTAAACAGTATAGTTGGTAAATGACAATATTGAATTACCATACCGCTGCAGTGGTTGTCTCTAAACCAGGATATAATTGGAAGGAAACAAGGAGAGGAAAGTCATTAGAGCGATATGGACAGAAGTGAACAGAACTGAGCATCATATAAGTCTGTGGTCGATACAGATGATGTGGCTCCATTACAGACTTTACCCCAAGAAGTTTGAATTGAAGCAAAGTCACGGCTCAAATATTAAGGGTTACAGGATCTCTTTTTCAAAACTGTAGCTTCTGATTGTTGTGTTTCAACATTTAAGAACCTTCACTCAGGAGAGGAGGATGATCACAAAGAGCTGAAGGGGAATGGGACTCGCACAGTGAAGTGATCCATATCCCTTTTACCCTTTGTCTCCGAGGGGGTGGACTGCATGTATCCTCAGTAGACCTTAATGCCGTGAACCCACAGTATATTTCATTAGAGCTCAGACTCTCACTCTCATTTTTTATCGACTGTTGAAATTGACACTTTCCTGGAGCTATGATCATTATCACCATAGCTTTCTTCCTTTACACATAAAACCAGCAGCTGTATAAATTAAGTTTATGCTCAGGCTATTGGGACTAATGAAAACCATGGGTGCACCAAAGAAGTGAATTGCATTATAAACATATAGGAAGTACTAATTGCAGAGCTTACTTCAGTGTGCATTGTTCAGGTCACATAGGGTGGATTTTTCTTTGAAGATCTGTGTGCATTTGTCAGATACTGAGTGTTGTACATCAATATTTGTTTGTTGTTTCATCTTTTTGGGGAACCGATGTGGATATGTGTTGGCGTGCAGGGATCTATCCAACAACAGACTGGTGGCGATTCCTCCCAATCTCTTTGTTTTACTGGGGGATTTGCTACAACTGTGAGTTCTATTTACACTAATACACTGAGATATATGGTTCTGTGTTTGCACGTGTTTATTCCATGAATGTTTAATAGGGTGTATCTCTTGATGCTATCATGGAATGACAATAGAGTTAACCATTTTGAAAAAAACGAGCTATTCTTGCTGCACAGCGTCCAGTGAAATTAGTGAATACAAAAAAACACTCCCCTAGATTTTGGATGAACTTTGTTTAAACTGCCTTGTGCATTAAGCTGGAAAGGCACCTTTGATGATTTATATATGAATAAATATCCTTCAAAGTTGTAAACCTTGAGTTTTTAGTCACACAACAGCAGAAAGAGATAATTACCGATTGTAAATATATTGAATGGTGATTACAGAAATAATGCCGACCATAAACGTTATTGACAATGGAGTTGTGATTTCATTAAGATCTTAAGGATTTGAACTTTGAGTAGCAGGCAGACGTTGCCTTCAGTCTCTAACAGTAAACAAACACTTAGGTGGGAGGATAGCGGGATGTTCTTTTTTTTTTAAGTTATTTTTTGGGGCATTTTTGCCTTTATTCAAATAGTGAAGTGAGACACGCTCTACCAGGTGAGTCACCGAGGCACCCCCATAACAGGGTGTTCTTTAAAGAAGAATAATGCAAGGACACAGCTTCATAATATACAGGAGGCAGTATGTGACAGGAAGGTTAAACTAATTGAGAGAACCAGGCCACATGCATAAAAATATGTGTATTGACAAAGAGAAATCTCTCCAATGTTATATCTATTTATAAAGAAGTGCAGTGTTGAAAGATGTTTTACTAGGTTCTTGATTTTCACTACTTGGTTTTCTATCTTTATTTTTTAGGAATATATCATACAATCCCATCGAGGAGCTCCAAGTCGACCACTTTGACAAGTTGCATAAACTGAAGTCGTTGTAAGTATGCCTTGCTTCATACTGAATGACACATTCATCAAATTAAAAACCACAGTGTTGCATGTTTAAAAACTAGGTCTCATTTGTGCTAGGAGGCATTTGGAGAGCTCTCCTGTCATGTTTAAAGGTCCCGAAGAGGAGCAAACATACAGTGTGTATGATGATAATGAAAATGAAAAATGGCCTTGACAAGCTAGAAGGAGGCCATTACTCTGTCAGCACTGATCATAGCTTCCGTGTTATTTGGATATGATGTGGGAAATGTGCTGTTTCTTTTGAGGCAATAGCAGGAGTTCACACAAAAGTCAGAATCTGAAAGACTCTTTTCTTTTCTGAAAGAATGAAAGAAAATGTATTTGGACTTGTAAAAGTGTTCCTCTGTTGAAAGGCTGTTTGATGAAGAAAACCTTTGGTGAGGACAGTTTGTGCGCTTTTGAATACTCTTGTAATAATGTGCAATTATAAATCATTATACTGTAATGTGTCTTTGTGTGCATCATCTGAAACAAAAGGAAAAATCAGTATGTCTTTATGTTCTCCAGGAGCATAGAGGGGATAGAAATCGGAAACATACAACGGCGGATGTTTGAACCTCTGAAATACCTTACTCACATGTAAGTGCTCAACGTTTATACTGTTAATGCTCACCATTTGGTCTGGACTCTCATGTATACCATTGGGCTTTCACATGTATTTATAATGGTGAGTCCCAAGCCAGCCTTATCAGGACTGTCAGGCTTCTCTTCCAGCTGGGAGATGAGTAAGTCAGGCTTAGTGTAATCCATTTACTGTGTGCAGCTCGAGATACACCCATGCCATTCCTGGATAGGAAGCAACAGAGGGAAAAGAAATTCCTTCTCAGTCTCGGATACAATCAGAGAAGCTCTTCAAGGCTTTCTATTCTATGGCGCTTAGTTCAAGTTCCAATAAGATTCAAATAAATGGAAATACTGTTCACCAGTTCAGCAGTTATTCTTCCAGGTTTTGAAATATCTGCCTCTGCCTCAACGCATTAGAGATTAACTGAATTTCATTTGTTTTGCTTGCAACAATAAAATATTTTTAACATTTAAAATTTTCAAAAGCAACATTTCTTTAGAGAAACAGGGTCCCCGTTACTCCAGATACTACGCAAATATGATTTATTTCACAGGGACTATTTCTTTGGTAGAAAGCAGCTCCATGAAAACTGTTGACACTGAAATGTGTGGATAACTTAAGCGGCAACCTCCGAGGCTGAGAAATTAAATCAACATGGACAAATATGAAGGAAGCGGCAAAAACTGCAGTTCCTCGAGTGGCCACTTGAGGCAGTTTTGATCTTTAATTTCTCCTCAAGACCTGATGCTGCCCACAGTTCAAATCTAAATCAAATCCTGCCTCGGAATCACCAGAACTTTTCTTCTGTGTCTTTGTTTTTCTCTAACTGTTTTTGCTTTGCAACTCTCTCAGTTTATAAATCCTACATTGTGTGTGGACTAACCGCTAGGCTGTAAAAACACAAAAACTCATAGACTCCCTTCTCTTTTGTTACCACTACTGTCACAGCTACTTCAAGAAGTTCCAGTACTGCGGCTATGCTCCACATGTGCGCAGCTGCAAGCCGAACACTGACGGCATCTCATCCTTTGAGGATCTGCTGGCCAACATCGTGCTGAGGGTCTTTGTCTGGGTGGTGTCTGCCACCACCTGCTTCGGCAACATCTTCGTCATCTGCATGCGCTCGTACATCCGCTCGGAGAACAAACTACATGCTATGTGCATCATTTCCCTCTGCTGTAAGTTACTGCATTTAAAGGAGGGAGGTGGGTGGAAGGGAAACACACATAATGTCAGTGTAACTAGCTTTTCACTTGTAAAACTACCTTACCGTCAAAGCACGTTACTTACAGTGTGTGCATAGCAAGTATTATCTCATTTCTGCAAGTCATACAGGGGTAGAGGGTTTAGTATTTACTGCCCAATAACACATTTTCCAAAAAAAAAAAAATAGGAATTGATGGCTGGTTGCCTAATGAACACTGGTTCACAGTTTACCCACATTTATAATTACCACTTCATTGTGTTTATAGGCCTGATTATAGTCTCTTGAATTATGCCAGATACAACTGCAGAAGTGGAAATGACAAATTATGCTAAATACTTAAGTTCCACAATTGAGAAGTAAACAAGCCTCATAACTCAGTAGGAAATTTGAAACTAGTGCCCAGTGTGCTTATCAGTGTGTTTCATCAAGACTGGTTTCACATTACACACACTTTTAGACACCCTCATAAATACTAAATGTAAAACTAACAACTTCTCTTTCCAAAATGTAATATCTGCCATCTGAATACAAGGATTCACATCCTACAAGAAATTGTTCACAAAACAAAATTGACACAAATTACAGTAACTGCTCAAAGATTACATGCCAGTGAGGTCGATGGTTGATTAGATAGTTGCATTTTCAATGACTCATCTACCAACATAATAGAAAATATCCTTCAGATAAAACTTACAACATCTTTATATCACTTTGACTTATATTCAGTGTGAGCTGAAGAAAAGAGGGTTACCAGAACATTTCATACATTTCGTATTTCAGATGTCTCAGGCAGAAGTATTTATTGAAAGCTTGATGCACAACAAGGAGAAAAAGATGAACATTACAGGGTCAACAAGTGAATTTATCTACATGTGTGAAGGCTATTAGTTACTTAAACCTGAACATAGTCTTTATGATCTGTACTAGTGTGGGCCAACAAAATAAGAAAGGTAAACTAAACTAAAACTAAGAAAATACAGTATATACCTGAAGTTTATATACACTTTAGGAGTGTAGCTTCTTCCATTTATCTTATTTTTGTGCCGTATGCGCAAAACCATGTTTCAAAAGCTCCTCCATACTAATGTATAAGCTTATAGTGGAAATATATTAGCATGGTGTTTGGATATGAAAACCTTATCTACCACTTCGATATAAGATGTCAGTCAGAAAGAGCTATGAGAGTTTGTTGAAAAGCTTCTTCCGTCGACAGCAAATAGACTTAATTCGCTGTGAGTAAATAGAGGAGCATGAAAGAGGCTCTGGAGTTTGTCGGGTTAAAAAGGACAGTTGATAAATATGATGTGTGTATTCTCATGGAAAGACAGGAAATTATTTAGGCACTGATTCTGAACAGGTAAAGGTTTGATATGAGATGGAGCCACTCTGGCTGAAAAAACAAACGTAATGCATTTGCTTTCACATTCTCGCATGTGGCATGTTGGCTTCTCATTGACATACACTGTGGGTCCCATGATGATATTATAAGTTACAGGAGGAAAATTAATTCATGATTGAGAGAATATAAAGCAGACAAACTCAATTAGAAAGGACCTCCTTAGTGTAGGAAGTCATTGAAGGTGAAGGTAAAAGTTTACGCTTATGATTACAAAGAGAGGATTTAATTTGACTATATTAACTGCAACATGAAAGCACAAAACATGCTCTCAATAACACATCACCATATGCTTATGATGACATATCAGAATATTTAAAGGAGAAATTCTATATATCTATATGCTATGCTCTTATTCCTGCTAGATCCACAATGAAAGCCAGGTGGAGGGTGTCAGTTGTTACTCATCATCTCATTTTTTCATTATGCATTTTATCTTTAGGGCTCACTTGCTTAATACATCAACCTTTAAAAGTTTATTACTAGAATGTCAGTGTGGCCTGTCTTCTGTAGCACAGACAAAAACAGAGCTTAGTGTAATTAACACAAGCAAAATAACCAAGATATTCTTCATTCTTTGCTTCTTTATAACAACAATAACGGATTAGATCCCCTCATGAAAGCAGGACGTGTTTGCATGTGGCTTTTAAACCTTTTATTAAAGGGGTGGAACAGAGCCTGGAAAGACATACGAGTCATTAACAAAGTAGATAGATAGGCAGACTGAGTTGGAATCACAGATATTGCAGTTTAGAGCTGGAACAGGAGTTAAATTGAAAGAATGTGGTCATTCAGTATGTTTTTATCACTTAGGGTTACCTTGAGTTTCCAGTATAATTTCTCATATTTATCCCCCATTATTCTCTGCTTCTCTGTGTCTAACAATTTCTTTCCTCACAGCTTCAACTTATTATCACTTTTTTATTGATTCTTTCTCAGAACACTTTTCTCAGTATCCATTAAAACCCCTGTGTCCTCTCTGCCCTGTGTTTGAGAGGACTATGAGCCTAGATGAATCAGTCAGCAGTCAGCTTTAATCTTTTATGAGTTGATGCGTAATTCACATGAAAGTTATGCAGTATCATTACATGTATATCTAATATACAAGTAAATAAATGAGAATTAAAAGACCTGCTAAACTTGAAAAAATATTATGGCAGAGTGGCATTTAGAGTTATGTTTCACCTGTACATGTCTGAGAACAAAGCTTCATTTCAAGTGTCACAATTTTCACATGATATATACCAACATGAAAACATACAGGGAGTCTTTAATGATGACATATGCTGTGTAAAATGTTTACATATGAAAGGAATGACTGCCAGGAGGGTTTGAGGATTTTAATTAATTTACTATATTATCAAAGAACTAAACATCAAGCAGTTACTGATAAAGCAGCAGTTAAATGCTTCAGAAGATATATGCTGTGAATTAAATTTGTTCTTCAGCAAAACATTGTGATGAATTTGCACAGGGCGGAGAAAGAAGAATTACCGCCAGTAAAGTCGCACCTTAGATCCATGTCTGTCAGGACTCATAATATACTGTATGTAGTGAAGTAAAGGAATTTAATGAAAGGTATTAAGTGTAGCGCATGAATTCTTAAGTTATGCTCAAAAAACTTGTTTTGTGAGGTCACAATGATCTTTGACCACCAAATTCGATCAGTCCATCCTTGAATCTAACTGGACTTATGTGCCAAATGTAATGAATTCCCTCCAAGTGTTCCTGATATTATCGCATTCACAACAATGGGCCACTGGCCTTTACCTTTGACCAGCAAAATTTTATTTTGAAAAGTTAAGCTAAAAAAAGTTTATTCCCAAGTTCAAGTGAACATTTCTGCCAAATTTGAAAAAGATTGGGGCAACCTGAAAATATAATGCCTCCAGCCAGGAGGCAGGCATAGAGAAAACAACATGTGGGGTTGGGATTTATTTATCATTTTGCTGTTGTTTTTTTGTTCTTTTGAGTTTTGAGTATGAAAACTTTTACTTGAGGTAGAGCGTGGGTCCAGATGTTAATTAAAAGAACAACAGTCTAAGCATTAAAGCAGAAAAATGCATATAAAGTCTCTCCACTAGAACTACAGTATAAAGCCCTGCTGTATATAATTATTGTTCCTTGTCATTACAAATCATTAAGTCTTGTTTTGCTTTTATTTGTATCACCTCTTTTCTTCTACTGAAGTTAATGTGCTAACCAGATATCTCTGGCCTGGCCAGCCCGTCTCATCACTGTCTGATGGTGAGTCACTGTAGCGTCCAGTCTGCCCTGAAAAAGTAACACTGCTCAGAGGGTGTATTTTAAACCTACTGTATTGTAAACATAATGATGACTGAACCTCTTGGCAAGCGACTGTCCCCACCACCCGCTCCCAGCAAGAAACCACGTTCGGCAGCAGAGAGAACTTACAAATTGCCCCTCTAAAAGAACAAGATATGTATTACTTCATGAGTTTTAGAGATGCTGGCAGGCAGATTGATACTATTAAACAGTCAGGCTAGCTCCTGTGTCTACTTTTATAGATACACACCACATTTGTCTACAAAGCTGCACATGCAATCTTTCTGTACGTATCCATCATTCATAGAACTGACCCCTGTTGTGTAATCAGGAATGACTAGCAGTTAAAGCTTAATGCTTATATTACTACTTGTACAGTACTGTATATTACCAGCAAGGCTTCGTATTATGATTATGGTTTAGCTGTTTTGCAGGATTGAGATCAAGTGCCACCCGCTGTTTTCAAACACTGCAGTGGGGCAAAGATATTGATGTTGATCTCAGAATAAATGCTATGCAGTTTGCATACATCTATATTCTATATATTCAACTTGTAAAAAAGGCAACTTCATACAGAATTATTTTCATGCCTCTTTGCAGACAACAACCGCTGTGTTGTGTTTTATGGTTGTCTGTACATTCGTCTATCCATCCATCCCATTATTGTGAACGCAATGTCTCAGGAAAACCATGAGGGAATTTCTTCAAATTTGACACAAACGTTCACTCGGACTCAAGGATGAACTGATTAGACTTTGGTGGTTAGAGGTCAAAGGTCTAGGTCACTGAGCATGATGGTCTGTGTGCTCTTTGCTGTATTTGCTTTTTCTATTGATCATAATACAGAACACATGAAGGAGCAGATGAATCATTTTTCCTTGTTTGCTTTTAGTATGCATGATTTCCTAGGTTGAGTGGCTGCTGTCTGTCTGCTTGTCATCATCCATCTCCACATCATACACGGAGGGCTTTTCATGTTGAGTCTCTACTTGGTTTGATTCTGTGCTCACTTCCAAGAAATCACACTGCGGTTCCCTTGAATGAGGACTGTTTTAAAAAGATTGCTTTATCAGGCAGTTTGTGGTGTTCAAATGAGTTTCTATGCTCACGTCTCTGAATGAGCCAATCTCAAGGAGAAAACACTCCCAAGTTTGTTTAAACCTTTTATAGCACACTGGGTCTGAATGCAGCTGTGAAGTCAGGCATTTGCCCTTACTGCGCAGACGTCTATGAATCCTATAAATTAGCTGTGTAATGCATCCCTCCTTGCCTACAGGTGCAGATGGGCTGATGGGCATCTACCTCTTCATGATTGGTGCGTATGACCTGAAGTTTCGCGGCGAGTACAACCGGCACGCTCAGGCCTGGATGGACAGCAGTCAGTGTCAGGTCATCGGCTCTTTGGCCATGCTGTCCACTGAGGTATCTGTCCTGCTCCTCACCTATCTCACTCTGGAGAAATACATCTGCATCGTCTACCCTTTCCAGTACTTGACACCTGGCTGGCGACGAACTGTCACCATCCTTCTTGGGATTTGGGTGTTTGGCTTTATTATTGCCTTCCTGCCGCTGGCCTGCAAGGGGCTATTTCGCAACTTCTACGGGACCAATGGTGTTTGCTTCCCGCTGCACTCGGAGCAGCCAGAGACACTATGGGCTCATGTTTACTCCATCGTTATTTTCCTGGGTGGGGATTTGTACTTTCAATAGTGAACTGAGCTTTTTTGTTGTGTTTCTTTTTTCTTTTTTTATTCAGTTACTTTCTAAAGCTTATTGCAAATGCTCAGTCTCATTATTTAGGGAGCACATTTGTATTTATTTGCATGTGGACAACCACAGTGCAAATACACACTATTGCAGTTGTTTGGCAATCCAGAAACTAACCAAATATCTCTCTATAGGTCTGAACCTGGTGGCATTCCTCATCATTGTCCTATCCTATGCAAGCATGTTCTATAACATCCAGAGAACGGGCACTCAGACCACAAAATACAGCAACCATATCAAGAAAGAGGTGACCATCGCCAAAAGGTTCTTCTCTATCGTCATCACTGACTCCCTCTGCTGGATCCCCATTTTCATCCTCAAGAGCCTGTCACTGCTGCAGGTGGAGATTCCCGGTATAGTGGAAGTGCTATAACCGTTTAAAGGAATACTCCACTGAAAGTCCACATTTAGAGTATCAACTGCACTCCCTCTGTAAGCCTGCAGCAGTAGTGAGCATGGATTCACAGCAGTTGATTGAAAGATGCAGAAGTTGTTGTACACGCTTTAATTTCTTCATGGCTGAACAACAACGGCCTTGTAACGGGTAAAGTAGAAAGCAGGAAAAGAGGTCATATTACTTAGCCTTTAGTTTCACCACACTGGTTACCTATTTGTTTTCGTGCTGATTTTAAGATTTTATTGATTTTACTTTTATCATTCACTGTGGCCAGGCTCCATCTGGTGCAACCTGCCGTTCTCAGACAAAAAGCTGCTGCCGGTTCCTATGTCTACATGTAGATCATGCCTTTGCAGAGCCACTGAGCTAAGATCAAAATAAAAAAAAAATCATCATCAAAGACTTTCTTTTTATTAGTGATAACTCATTATGTTTTATGGATTGTGCATCTTAAATTATCTTAGGTTTACTTTCAGTTTTACTGGTTTTTGCATTGTTTAGTTTATTCCTGTATCTTTGTTAGTATTGGTTATTTTAGTGTAAAGAACTTTGCAACACTGGTTTTGAGACTGCTATACAAATAAACCAAATCATTACTACTGTTTCAATAGCCATGTAGAGTCACAGCAAAAAACTGTCTATAGAAATGTCTGCATCCACTTTCATATAGCATAATCCATTCCTTCATTATTGTTCCATATCCTCAGTATGTTTCAAACAATCATTGCTTTACTAATAAATTGTTAAACTGGAGACTTCTGGCAGAGCTTTGAAGCTTTGAAGAAATGCTAGCATGGCAATGAAGGAGAGCAAACTTGTTCAGAAGAAACTGTGATTGTTTGGAAGATTGTGAGAATTTGAATGATATACATAGAAGTGGGTCATGATCGGTTTCTAAGGATGTTTGCAGCCTTGAGCTGCCATTGGACTCCACTATATCTGCTGTGAATCAGAGCTGAAAACATAGAGGAAAGAACTCAAAAGCTATATTTTCTGTGGAGTATTCCTTAAACACTTTTATTGACTGTGTATCATTTATTCTTACAGTAGTCTCTGTAAGAGCTCTGCTAAGTGCAGGCAGCAAGCATTAAAATGTTTTTCATAAGACCTCAGATACTCTAGAAAGAGCATTTAACTGTAGCCGCCTTATTGAAGTCTATACTGTATACTCTGATGACCATTGAGTGTTGAGCAGAATCCCTAATAGCTCCCTAATTATGCCCCCTGTAGACACAAAAGGGATTTTCATTTATTATATAAATGGCTTTTTTTTTTTTTTTTTTTTTTTTAAAAGGTTGTCATGTTAAAATACTCATATTACCATGTTACACTTCTCTAAACAAAGACTGTATATTAGTTCTGTTGTTTTATTTCTTTCTCTCTGTCTTTTCTCTCTCCACCGGCAGGTACCATCAGCTCCTGGGTGGTCATATTCATTCTCCCCATCAACAGCGCTCTTAACCCCATCCTATACACGCTGACCACACGGCCTTTCAAAGAGACCATTCTGCAGGTGTGGGCTAACTACAGGCAGAGGAGGCCCCTGCTCAGCGGTCACCCAGCTCATCATCCGTCGCTCACCTGGCAGGAAATGTGGCCCCTGCAGGAGAACAGTCACGGCCTCACCCCGGGGCACCCTCTGGAAATGACAAGCACGCTAGCCAAGCTCACCCCTGTGGAAAATACCAACGAGGGTTACAGTGACATTACTGTTTGCACACAGCTACAACAGAAGCAATGTACAGCACTGTCTGTGCTCTCACAGAAACAAACAGTGCCACACACACACACTCAGACACACATACAATCAAATTAACTCACCTAGGTGTCTAACACCAATTAAATGTGATTCAGGTTCATTCAACTGCGCAATTAAGAGCGTTCAACCTGTTTGAAAATACACTCTTTAAAGGGATACTCCTTGATTTGTGGACAGATTTCTCCTTTGTTGTTGAAAATCATTAGTATTCATTCGTTTTTTTTTTTGGAAATCCCAGTGTGTGCCTGTGTTGCCCAAGCAGCAGCCATAACAGCAGATGGGTGAAGTCAGTGCAGAAAGCCTTTCTACAGCAGAGCAGTTCCCCTAATGAAGACCACCTTCTGGCTCCAAAGAAAATCTCTATCAATACAGAACAGAAGTCCTACCCCACTTCTGGTTTAGCTTTTGTTCCACTAGCTTTTATTGCTGAGTTTTATTTCCCACACAGAGCTTCTTTCATCAAAGCTAAAACATGATAGTGGAGCATTTCCAAGCTCTGAGCTGAATATTAATCTACTACCACATTTGCAAGTAATATTTGGTCAGTTTGTCATTTCTAACAATGAGAAGAGACTACAGCTACAGCTCCCAACAACCATTTCTCTGATGGCTAAGATTCATTAAACGTGTTGATGTTGAATTCTAACAAAATAATTTGTGAGTGTTTTTGACCTTGCAGACAGTAGTTTGACACAAAAAAAATCTCAAGATTCACTTACCAGCTTTTGCCAGAGCTTTCAGCTTGCATCTCGCAGTCTTCCTCAGCAAATGGAGTTTACTCAAAAAAATAATCAGTGTTATCTTTGTTAAAATGATGGGATGCTCAAATTTGTGGACAAGAAAGTAACCCATTGCAGTTTTGTGCAATATAGAAGCAATTTTTTTAGAAAAATCGACAAAACAGAATTGCAAACAGTCTGTTTCCATTGAGTGATGTGATGCGAATGAACCTGTTTTTTCCTTTTGCGATATTATTCCAATTAAACATGATGATAGATTTCCAGCAGTCTGCCTCTCGGTTGGATCTGGCTCCCTGGGGCAGGATACAGCAGGCAGCAATACTTAAATGCGAAAAAAGTGTTACCATTTCAATTTTGCAAAATGTTGCTTTGTCAAATGGTCTGAAAAACCACCTCAAACAAGTGCATATTTTTTTTCAAAAATTCACGTGCCCATTACTCGTTTTTAAGTTCGCAATTTCAAATTGCGCATTAAGCAGGTTAATGGAAACACACCTTATGGGAAAGGTTTTTGGTTGAGTCTAATGGAGAAAAGGCTAACTTAGAAAGATACCATGGTTGTGGCTCTTTAATACATCAAATATAAATGTCACCAATGTGTGTCAATTTTTTTGAATCACCAGAGAAGGTTAGAAATATATTAAGAGACAAATGAATACATTTTTGTTTTGTTTTTTTGACAATTGCAAAAGCATAGAATATCACCAGCTGTGTCTGTATCCATTAACTCTATACAAAATGACTCCCACAAAACCAAATTGGGATTTTCTTGCCTAAAGATGAAGTGAAGATGACTCTAAAATGCCCCTCAGCCACAGTTTACTCAGTCCCCTGTTAACTGTATGAGGTTAGCATTCTCCTGACACTAAAGCTGCACAACTATTTTTATTGGTTTTGTATGTTTTGTTAGTTGACACTATACATTTTAATTGGCCTTTCTGCACATCATGAACTTGCAACTTTTATACTGACACTAGAGTCAGATACAGATCTGATACAGATCAGGTGACCGACAACAGCATGATTCTTATACTGAAGCACAGAAGCACCAGCTGGTTTGTCCATTGCCAAATCCAGTAAAGTTTTTTTTTTTAAAACAGTACGACCACATCCACAAAAGCAGCAATGGCAGCATTACTTCACCTATTAATGTGAAAGTAAGAAGAAAACATGAAAAATATGGAGCTGCAGAAGGTAATATGGTGTCTGTTCTGAAGCCAATTTCATTTTATATTAAAGCAGTCTCTTTTTTAGACTTTTAGCTACAACATGTAGAATACTATTCCAGTGATATGAAATTTCATCCAAGCTTGTCCTATTTATTGATCTTTCAGGCAATTAATAAGGGATTGTGACCCCCTAAAACTGCACATCAAACGACAACCAATTTGGCAGAAATTCGACCTGATTTATGAAAATAGTCTGTGGTGACCAATTTATGAAGTGTCTGCCCGGCTTAATGTTTCGCAACTAGATTATTGACCTAAAACTTTTGGTTCTGGTGCCTCTAACACACAGTGGTATTTTCCAACTGCTAACACTTCACAGAGGTGTTTATATCTACATTTATATGGGTGGGTTTTTGTGTTAAAAATAGACAAGTGATTGAAGCAGAGTTTGGTTCTTTTGCAGAAAGTTTCCCTGTCAAAATGCTCTAGATATAATAAACACACAGAATACTGATGGGTTGAGGAAAATAAGTATATTTCATACAATACTGGTACCCTCCAACCTTGAAACTAAAGGGAGAATCTCAAAACAAAGCCGAACACCATAATTGACCATTATCTACCTACACCAAATATTTACACTGTCCCTGCTGCCACCTCTTGTTCTGGTAGCAGCTGTCACCGATTGCAATGGCAGTGCTCAGCAATGAGACCGCTCTGAGTAGACACAGTATGGCTCTTGTGTAGCAGCGTGATTATTTTCTCCACACTGTTTTCCTTGTCTATAACTTAAGATCTGACTCTAGGATGTAATCCATCTTATCTGAGAAATATAATTGATGTGACAATTTCCAAGTAAACCAAAAATCATCAACCAATTAAGACAGAAGCAGTCATGTAATTGGTTAAACATTGGGTGAGAGATGTGACATTGCCCCAGTTTGTGGATGGACAAACTCTGTGGGAGTTCTGTCTGTCTTTGTCTTTTCGTGACCGTCCCACTGTAATCAAATGAAATGACTTTCTGATTACATTATTCATAACATTTCTACTAATCAGCTCAGTTCTAAGAGTCTCTAGAAACAAGGAAATCTGTTGGTAATGTTGTAATTTAATCAACCAAGATCATTTGCTGTTTCACTATTAAACATGTTTACTGTACATAGTATGTGTAAAAACCATTAAGCTTACTAATTCCTGTTGGGGGTTGAGTGTAAATGCAAATGGTATAAATAATACTGTGTTTCATATTTGTAACAAACCAATGCAACAAGTGAAAACATTTTCAGGCTTTGAAGTGAAAATTATCCCACCGGAATTCACATTATTTTAGTATTCTGGGGAGTTGTTAGCACTGGGGGCATTGCAAGAATACACTCTTACATCTTGGATCCAAGTTGATGGAATGTAGTGGAATGAATGATTGATATGAGTGTTTGATTGTATGTCAGGCCCACATATAGAGACTTTTCCTGGTGGCAGTGTTGAGGGTCTGTTGGACTGAAGAGAATGTGAGAAGCATATAAACATGCCCTTGTTTTGCTTTGAGGCAACAAAGATGATTATTCCAAGTATGTGCCAAGGTTTTTATTTCAAAAGTTTTATCCATGCAACAATGAAATAGAGTTTGGTCAAGGACCTCAAGTGCGTCTGTGATGCATTTTTCATACGGTTTTCTTTGTAGCAATGACTCTGCCTATAGACCCAATTTCTTTTGGCATAGTTGTTGCAATTACTGATGAAGAATTGCCTGAATTGTGTGAAAAATCCTCTTGGAACAGGGTGGTTCGTGGTTCCAGCAGCAGCAAACTCTGCTTGTGGGAGAGAGGTAGAACTGGGTTAGTAAATACAAGCAGAAGCAGCCAGCATTTACTAACAGACATAGAACACAGAGGCTGAGATCACATCAGTGAATAAATTACAGAACAAGGATGCATGATGTTACTGATGCAGTCACAGCAGCTCCCGTCCAACCACATAAAAACAGTAACTGCTGCAGTTTTTGACATTTGCACCATCTGCAGCCAGTAAGTATAACAGCTGCATTTCTTGATTGTTAGTTTTTAGCCACAGTAGCAGCATAGCTCTAGGAATGATAATGAAAGTCAGTTCACCACTTTGGTCCGGACTAGTTTGAATTGCCATGAAATTCTGTGCAAACATTCATGGTGCCCAGAGGATGATGCCTACTGACTTTGGTAATTCCATGACTTTTCCTCTAGCGCCACCAGCAGGTTGACATTTTTGTCTTCATGTTTTTATTTAGCACAGTGTGCAATGTATAACATCACACACAAAAACATAGTTACTAAAAAATAATATTGCTGAAGGTGTAACACTCATTGCCTGCAAGTGGTGCAAGTGTTAAAATAAATGCAGCAATAATTACTTTCTTTGCCTGTAGGAGGCGGTATCTACATCTGCAGGTCTGTTGCTGTTCATCTCCTCTCCTGTAGGCGGCGCAGGATGGCTTACTTAGAACTTGTCTACCAACTACTAAACACATTTCAATTAAAAGCTACTTCCTTGTGGTGTAGCACATAAAATTATGATCTTTTATTCACAGAAAAGCAATCTGTAAATGTCCATCTTAGCATTTTTAAAGAAAAAAAATGCTTAAGTCGCTTCATCTTTTGAACTGGTTTTGTTATTGTTTTTTCACTGCAGTCGAAACTGCTAAGCTAATGTTGGGCTAATGTCTAGGTGTAGTCATAGCTGTTACATGTTTACTGTTGTTGTTGTTGTTGTTGTTTGTTTGTTTTATTTAATCAAAATTATTGGTTTAGTATTTTCTTGTGGCTATTGACTCTAATACATTTGCTGTAACAAGGTCATATCATTTTATAACAACATGTTTGATACATTTCTTACTGTATACATTACCATCTCTGTTGACAATAATGTACCAGCTTAAACTCTGGTCTCATAATATTTGTAGCTGTAAATCATCACATGCTGGCATGGCAGATGAAGTTCAGTGACATTAAAGGGTACTTATCAAACTAATGCAAAATGATCTTATGGGGGGCACATTGCAAAACACCAAGGCAAGGACCATTTATCACCAAAGATGTTTCTATGTATTTCTAAAAATTCTAGATTTTCATTGTAAATGTCAAAATGGGAACTACTAATTTAGGCAGAACATCAGAAAAATAAAAAATAATAATAATAAAAATTGACTTTTTGTAGCTCATTATGGTGCTCATGTTTGTTCTAAACTACATCAAACAGTAGTCCAACCCTTCAGCAGAGCAGTGTAAAGGACCACATCTTCCATGTGTCTCTGCAACTTCATAACCATCTTTGCAAGTCTGCCGTAGTTCTTAATGTCTAATTTGCAGCTAAACTCTTTGAATCTTCAGAATTCATGTAATTGTGTATTGTGAACATTTTATGACCAACCTTTTTTGTACAGTTGGCCACTGGGTGAATCAGTTGCTTTTTGTACCTTTTCCTTTTCAACATCTAGTACATCAAAATATATTTCATGCAGTACACTTGTTTAATCTCATAATTCTAACAATACTGTACATGCAGCATACTTGCAGCAAAGACCTTTTTTTTTATTTCATGGTAACTTTCTAAGTTTTAGGATTATCCAGTCTGTCAGTGAGGGAAATGATGTATTTTTTATTCTGTATTTTGTCTTTACTCCATTTTGTGTTGTCTCTGTCGCCAAAAATGATTCTAGTGAAATATCGAATGTAATGTCTGAGATAAATTCAGTATGTTCAGCAAAGAATGTATTATAATTTGGGCACATATAACCTGGTATAAGGTATACATGGGTTGCAGCTACACAAGCAGCAATTTTAGATTGTCTTTTATAAATCCAGTCTAGAAATTCCCCAGCTGGTCTGTGGGTCTGAAAATGGACTCACCCTCACCTCACCAACAGCTGCACCAAACGACACATTTTTAACACTGTGGTCTATACAGTGAAGACATTTGTATAATAATCATAAGCTCCTCTGTGCATACTTTGTTCAGTGAAGGACTGATTCCTGTGGAAATGTATTTTTTCAGACATCGTAAATGTGTGAATGTATAGCAGACATGGAGGAGAATAAATTAGATGTTATTACTATGATTTGTGAGTACATTATGTGATAGTTTGTGTTTACATTACCTTCCCATACATGCTGAAAAGACAGAGAAGCCAGCACTTTGCTTGAGATATACAAGCAACATGTACACTTACATTTAATATTGATGGGAAAATTGATCAGTTCATTTGTTGTATTGACCTGTGCCCTATAATAAAATTACTTATGTATTGTATTGTATTGTTATGTAATTACTTATCTGTTTGTTGACTTTTCTTATCACTTCAAGTATAAAGTTGCATGAAATTTAAAAATTCTGCCTCAAAATTGTACTTAAGTACACTCCACCACTGGTAAACACAGAGGTAGGTCTACTATAATTTCTAGTAAGCTCATAAACTTCTACATTCAGTGAATGCTTACAATTTTAGAAAATCCCAGATGTATGCAGGTATGTAATCTCCTTTACAATTGTTGTATTCCACTTGAATTAATCACATACACTCTCTCAGAAAGGGATACAACATATTTCTAAAGATGTGCAGCTTTATTTTAACTATATGGACACATTGCCAAAGCCTGTTTCTGACTTGATGTGAAATGGTATCACTACTGATTAGCCATTAGTCATCTACAAATAACTCTTTATCTGCATTGTCTTTACAATTTTATTTATTCATTTATTTTTAGAAAACTACTGACTCCTTTTGAATAAGTTATTTTTCAGTTTGTATTTGGAGCTGTGTTTGTATGTCTTTGTATATGTGACTGTTTGGTTAAATTTAAATATATTCATTAATCTGGATATGTCACATTTCAATTTAATCTCTGGACTACAGAATTTCTACAATCCTTTTTTTCCAACCGGTGGTCAGTGGCCCAGTATCGTGGGATGACTCCTGTAACACAATTGCTGAGTCCTAAGCTTTACCTTCCCGGATTTACCAAAGCAGTACTGTAGAGTGCGGTGTGGAGATCTACACTTGCGCAGTTACCTGAACGCCGCCGCAGCAGCGCAGCTTTGTGACGCTCTCATGTGTCTGTGTTATGAGACGTATTTTGTAAGGCTCAACATTTGTTTGCAGAGTGGGCTGATTACACAAGCTCTGCACTGGCAACGAAGTGAGGGCACCCCAGCTTCACTTGGGCTGATTTTAAAAGAAAAACCACGGACCGCTAGTGAGCTTACTCTAGCTTCACATAATGTTTCCAGCTAGCAGATACTCAAGTCAAGGTACGTGAGCTAATAGCTAGTTAGATAAGGTATTGTGAGTTTGTCTGTGCTGGACTCGGCTGCTAATTTAACTTTACCAGCAGTGTTGTCATCTTACTTTAGCATTTTACAAAGGGTTAAGTACTGAATATTTTTTCCTCGTGTTTAAATTTTGTTGTTTGGCTTTCTGTTTTAGCACTAGTCCAAACTAGCATGCTCATTTGTGTTAGCATCATGCTAAAAAGTAGGTGAAAGTTGAACTAATATATGGGTCACTTGAACAGTGTCCTTGTCATGAATTATATAAGCCATTTATGCCTTTTCAGCAAAATACTGATGTTGTTACTACCTTGTCATTGTTTTGAAAATATTTGATGTAAAGAGGATGTCAATTCGCAGCTTGGACTTTGAATTTAGCTTAGCAGTAGTCACATAAAAAAAATGCTAGCTAGCATTGAGCTACAGCTGCACCTGAACAGTCTGACAGCTGCTTGACATGTTCACTAATTAGGTACTAAAATAAACTTTTGTTTGTCTCTGTCATGTGTGTGTTGAGGAGCCATGTCCAGAAGTCCCATTACCATATTATGTCTAAATTGGTCAGTTACTATTTGTTGTCATTTTATTGTATTTCATAAATGTTTTATCATTTAAGATCCAGGTCAGGCTCAACTAAACCAGTGAGCACACTAAAGAGAGTGTACCACCAGTCTGAACTGGTATTGACTTGGAGCTGTTCTCCCTCTTGCAGCCCACAGGTGTATCAGGGCATGGAAAACAGTACAGACAGAGTATGCTGCTCCTCAGCTGTACACAACACTACACAGAAGAACATGCTCTTCAGGAACAGCTCCCCGCGTCACAACACACTACACCATCCACCCCCGGGATAAAGATCCAAGATGGGAAGGTAAGACACTACACTGTGTAGAATTACTTTAAAATTACATGTTATTGTTAGGACCCACTGTCAAGATGGTTTCTCATCATTTGGGCAATCAAAGTCAGACATGCACTGGCACTCTTGAGGGGAGTGATCTTCTTTTGTCAGTTCAATCTTATCCAGGTTTCTGATGTGTTTGTACAGGAGTATTAATTCTCTTTTTGTTTACTTTTTCCCTACATAGTAAAGTTTACAGTGCAACTTATAACAGAATAGGAAGAGAAAAGTCAGTGTGGATTGCTGTGGAAGGAAGGTTAGACAGAAGGTCAGACTGGTCCAATCTCTACAACCCATGAACATCAGGGAAAGTTTTTGTCCTGTGAAATCTGATACAGTTTATAGCATTATTTTAAATTTAAAGTTCAGTTAGTTCTTCCTTTGCTGTTTAGTGAATGGCTCTAATGCTTATCTTCGCTCGATTTGTGAGGACCATATAAGTTCCACATTATGAGTCAGCAGTGTGAATACATCCAAGAAAGTGTTTTCTTTGCCTTTTTAAATTCAAATTTGAAATTCAGTTTATGTGGATAAAATATTCAGTTAGTTATTACTTTGGGCAGCTCTGCTGTCTAATCCATTCAGTTTTGGTTTAAGCTGTGCCAAGTGTTCCACACAGGACTGCAGCTA